CATGTCACTAAAGATTACATTTTTTTGCACTCTCATCTAGATTTTTTTCCACCGAACTGCGGAGCAGTGAGCAACGAGCACGGCGAGTGATTTCACCAGGACATTGCAACAATGGAGAAACGCTATCAGGGCAAATGGAGCCAATCAATGCTTGCAGACTATTGCTGGACAGTGACAAGAGATGTAATGAATACAAGAGACAAGCCAAGAAGCGCCGAGTAGACATTGAATAGGACTAAACTATGTACATAATAGTTTTTTGCCTTTTGTTTCATAATAAATTTTATTTATATAACCCTTTTGCTGATTTTTAAAGTGTTACATAAACAGGACCGGTGAAATATTATCATGTAAAGCAACCATAAACACATGAAAAGACCTAGGTTTACAATTTATGATTAAAACTCTTCTATCTATACACTATACATAGACATAAAATGTAAAAACTTAAATATCTTAGAAACAGTAGCCAATCAGTTGTTTTAATTGTCATATTTGAATTCAGCACATCAAAATACATAATAAATAGCACATTTTATCTCTGAAGCAGACAACTTCTCAAAAATTGTAGACCAATGTAATTGCTAGAATTCTCCTTCCCTTATCCTACCTTATTGGATCTGTCCCAAGAGAAAGCAGGGTACTTACTAAGGCCACCTGCCTCTTTCTGGCAACGCTTCCTTGATTCTTATGACCAAATCAAAGGAACTGATACCAATATAGTGCAGAGTACTTGGGGTATCGAGCATCAGTGCAGCTTGCAGTTTATCTGTCTCCTAAAGCTTTCTACAGAGCCAGCCCCAGTATGAAGAGTCACTAGGGCAATTCTCAAAAGTATGTAGCTGGTAAGGTCCTTGAAGCTTTGAGCAAGGCTGTCTGTTTCTGTGAATGTAGGGTAGGCATCTTTGTGCTAGATCTAAACCTTTAATAAACCTTTTAATCCCTATACACAGTGTGTGATGAAACAGATACAAATGTGATTGTTGGCAACAGCCATCCAGCGACCCTCTTTTGCAGTCATGCACTAGCTGTTACGCAGGGTCTCCAATGGTACCTTCCTACCCAGGAAAGATGCTAGTCTGTGTGCCAGAAGGAAATGCCTTCCCGAAGCACTGTGCATTGAGGTGGGGGCAATTTCATGATGCAACTTCATGTCAAAATGGAGCAGAAGCTTTTAGTGGAGTCCCCCCCCATGCAAAATGCAATGGGGAAAGAGTGGTTGCTGTCACATAGAACGTAGAGAGAATTGATATGGGCAGTTTCTATGACTCCCTTCTTTGGTGTACCTGCTCAATTCAAATATATGATTTGCCAGTGGTTACTATCTCAACTCCTTTGATGTATGTGAGCACTAACACGTCTACCCCAACTTTAAATCCACTCCACACGTCTTGTGTGAGGTAGATTAGTAAGTAACAGAGGTCAGGTTTTGCTCTGGGGGGGCCATATAGCAAGAATTCTTTAGGGCATCAACACTTGCCAGCAGGACCAGTGCAGGGATATTTTGCGCCCTACGCGAAACTTCCACCTTGCGGCACCCTTCCCCCTCCCCCCGGACAACGTCTGAAAACTAGTAAACTTATTATTATAAACAGCCTGTCAGAATGGGTAAGGGCTTTGTAATGTTTCTTTTTTACCTTTAAGGCATTTCAATTGTTTGCCATTGCCTCTGATAGTGTCCCATTCAAAGTCTTACTATTGTGCAAAGCTAAACAATTGAGCCTTGCATTGCATCACCAGTCAGGTTAGGCAGGGTGACAAATCCCCCTTGCCCCAAAGGGCCATTATCCCCGATGACTAATTTCTACTCCATGTCTATAAAGCAGACTTTTAAGGTAAATACATTATTCCTTCAATATTACCCATGCACACATCTCACAAAGATTCTCACTCTTGACAAGTTACCAGCCTTGTGTAGATCCCTTCCAGGTTCCTCTTTGTGGGTAAGTGCCCTGTAAGACCCGTGTGGGGTTCAATGAGTTTGTCAGGCCTGCAGTGACATCTGTTTGTGAAGATCAGGGGGCCCTTTTCCAAGGAGTGCTGATGTCACAGTGAGCTTGGGGTGGCTGACAGTATGGGGCAGGGCACTGAGGCTGGTGGGGCAGGTAACACTCCCTGGGCTGGGGGGCAGGCGGTGTAGAGTTGGGGCAGGGGTAGGTACCTGTCAATCTACATACTTGGGCTGCGCCAGCAGCCTCTTCACCTCAGTCTCCCCCGCTTGCCTGGGCGCAACTCCTCTCTCAAGCTCCCAAGCCACTGTGGCCGCGGCCACCCGGGAGGACGCGGGCGGGAAGCGCTGCCGAGGAGGAGACACCCGGGGTTGGGCTTGGCTGGGGCCCCGCACCTGCCGGCCGAGAGGAGCAGGAACCGGGCGCTGCTCGGGGGAAGCCAGGCGGCAGCAGCCTCTGCAGCAGCAGGGGCAGGCAGGGAGTGTAGCCCGCCATGGGGCAGGAGAGGCCGCGCTGCTGCTGTTGTTTCCTGCCTACAACCGTCCTTTGCTTAGTTATCCTGGTCTTAAGATTTGTGGATCATAGTTAGGGCCCTACCAAATTGATGGCCATGAAAAACACATCATGGACCGTGAAATCTGGTCTCCGCCCATGAAATCTGGTCTTTTGTGTGCTTTTACCCTATACTATACAGATTTAATGGGGGGAGATCAGTGTTTCCCAAATTGGGGGTCCTGCCCAAAAGGGAGTTGTGGGGGGGGGGGAGGTGTCTTAAGGTTATTTTGCGGGGGGTGTGGTATTGCCACCCTTACTTCTGCACTGCCTTCAGAGCTTGGCAGCTGGAGAGCGGCGACTGTTGGCCGGGCACCCAGCTCTGAAGGTTGTGCCCTGCCAGCAGCAGCACAGAATTAAGGGTGGCAATACCATACCTTGTCACACTTACTTCTGCACTGCTGCCTTCAGAGCCGGTTGGCCGGTCAGGATCCCTACAATTACAACACTGTGAACGTTCAGATTGAAATAGCTGAAATCATGAAATTATTCATTTTTAAAACCCTATGTCCGTGAAATTGACCAAAATGGACCGTGAATTTGGTAGGGCCCTATCACAGTATCCAGAAACAAAATTTCAGAAGTAAATTTACATCTTACTCCCCCCTTACCCCCTCCCACAAAGTATCAGAAGCTGAACATACTCTGATTTTGAAGGAAGAGACCATCTGCTAGCATAGTGTTGCATTGTTTATCTTATTTTTCCCCTTATATAAAATCTTTCTCCTCCTGTATTTCAGTTGTTTTCTGGTCATTTTTTGTTTAATACACTGAAAAAAATGCCTTGCTGAAAAGACACTACATGCATAAAGACAGGTTTCAGAGTAGCAGCTGTGTTAGTCTGTATCCGCAAAAAGAACAGGAGTACTTGTGGCACCTTAGAGACTAACACATTTATTTGAGCATAAGCTTTCGTGGGCTCAAATAAATGTGTTAGTCTCTAAGGTGCCACAAGTACTCCTGTTCTTTTTACATGCATAAAACTATTCAGGCTAAGTCTTTCATGGTTTCCCCTTTACAGTTTTTTTTAAATTAACTGTATTTACATCATGTCACCACTACTTAAGAGTAAAATGTGTATTTGAAATACACATCTAGACAGAATTAATTAAAATGTATCACTGTTGTACTTCACATAGCTTGAGGAAATAACTGGGGCATACAGACAATCTATAATAATTGAGTTGTTACAGAAAACAAAATGATCTAAAGATAGCTAAACCAGATCCAAATGAATAAGCATACATAAATGTATGGAATAAATGATAGTTGCAAATTGTAGCACTTTGTCAAATAAACAACTTATACCAAATATTTTTTCTCTCAGAATAAGTTTTAAAACAAATAGTTTCACGAGAGCATGACATTATCTGTGACTTCTCACACTGGAGAGATAGTATTAGATAAATGAGCAAATTAGACTAACATGAAAATGTTAACATTTCATCCAGCACCGGAATGTAATAAATTTCCACCTATTTCATTAGGTGTTTAGAGTTAACGATATACCATTGGGTTTCTTAAAGATGTTTTTATGATATTTCAGTTTAATCTGCAAATCAAAACCTCGACAAGTAATTGCTCCCAAGTGGCATGGGAAACCATATGATTGGAATCAGGTAAGGTTATAATTTTCTAAAAAAACTAAGCAAATGAGAATGGGTTATTACCATATTCCTTCATATCTGGAGACTTACAGTAGGTTCAGATCTCATGGTCACAAGTAAGATGTTTTTTGTCTGTGTATTCCTTTGCTGATATCTGTTAACCTCATGAGCAGAGATGGTTTGAATAACAGTACAAATATTGTAGGTTTGGATTTGACGTGCATGGACAGATCCATACACTCAGTCTGGCTCTTGTAATATTTCCTGTTTAATTTTGTGACCTCCAATATTCATTATTTCCAAACAAAACACTTCAGAAATTTGCAGTGAAGGATGGGTTTCTGGCAGGGAGTTGTAATTTATTAGTTGCTGCTCAGTAGGATAAACATTTTATTACTATCTGAATTTTTGTATTTTCCCCCTTAGAAATTAACCTTTTGGTACTGCCCATCAAATAGCATAAAATTAACTAAAGGAAAGGAAAGTTGATGACTGGTGTATTTATGTTATTTGTTTTGGAATTGTTAGCTCACTGCAGTATATGTTGGATTTTATTGCTGGCCATTGTTCTATAACAGGATTTCCTTTTTATACTTTCAGGAAACCTGCTGGTTTTAGGGTCAGAGAGGGAAGTAGTAGTCTGGAGATTTCAAAGGGTTTCTTGCAGCACAGAAGTAGGGTTTTTGTTTGGAGTAAGTCCTAGTCTGCCCTGTTAGTCTGTTAGAAATCTTTCCTAACTTCCTCAGTGGGTCTCCCCATCCAACCAGATTCCCACCACATTTGGTTCATGGCCAGCTTAGTGGTCAGTGAACCAGCAGGAACAAGGCAGGCCAGTGGGTATCATGTGTCTTTGGTGGTGGAGGGAACTGGGTGCTTTTCTGAGATGGGTAAGTGAGGGGTTTAGGTCTCTTCTTGAAAGGGAAGGAAAGTCTGAGAAGATGGGATAAGCACAGAGGGCAAATATGCTCATCCTCTTCACAGTTCACTGTGGGGAGTGTGTTTATTTTCTTTTAATTTTGCTGTAAGGTTGTCCTATATAGATGTTATATTATAAGAGTGCAAATGGACAGAAAATATCTGTCCTCTGCAGCTCTAGTACAGAATGTGCATATTTCTATGTTTTATACCTTGCATAAGCTGAAGTAGTGCTTGCTACTCATTTTTCAAATTTTAGTAGCTATCCACAGTGTCAAAATATGCTATTATGCCATCTCTCTCTCAGGGAAAAGGCCACTTAATATTTTTTTAGACGCTCTTAAATCCCACAATGCTATGTTACCTTTAACAGACACACATTCTCCTTTCCCTTCTAAACTGCCTAAGGAACTGAAAAAACCTATGGCTGATCCTTATTTCATGTTGTGTATGGGAGATGAGCAGTGCTAAAGCAGTGCTCTATACTGATTCCTCCCACAATATGCACGTGTATATGAGTGTGTTCATTTTAACCTGATAATTCAAAGAACAGCAACTCATGGGATTTTTTTTTTTTACTACAGTACAAAGATTTGCAGGATATAATTATATGGGGCAATGAGCATGCTAGTATAGTCTTTTATTTATCTACATCGTTTTTAATTTTTCGTAAAAGCAAATTGGCGTGTAAGCCATATAGCAATATGTCAAGTCTGAGAGACCAGGACATCTGACTTAATATAATTACAGAATGCTTACCTTATTAGTTATCCACTTGATAAGTAAAGCCTGTGGATCTGAAACGGAGAATTCTGGCATAGGCATCCCATGAGGTAAGTTTGGGTTTTGATGGTAATATTTATCTAATTTTTAAGCATGCCATAAAGAACATGAGCAGAATTTGTATGATTTGGAACAATCAAAAAGTTATTTGAAAACAAGATAGTGGGGGGGGGAAATCTTGTGTTTGCAGAGTAAGAACATATGAACTTACATCTTTCTAACATTGTAATTTTGCTTTTTTTCATTAGGTGGATTCAAAACTGATCATCGACCAGTCTGAAAGTCAGAATGAAAGAGGAAAGAACGCTTTCCTTTACCAGCTACATAAGCTGGTTGTGTTAAATACTTAAATATTTCTAGAAATCCTTAAAAGAAAGAAATGTTAAAGCCATTTCTTAGTTTAATTTTCCTGATGTTTTCTGTATGATCCTTAAAGGTTGGCTCCACATCCCTCTGATCTTAAAGAGGAAGGTAGTATGCAGTTTGGAATGTCCTACTGGGTGTATTAATAAGATTAAAAAAATGTATTATGTGTTAATATCTGGTGTTCTCCCAGAGATTAAGACTCAAGGTACACATATACTGAAAATACTGTTCATAGAACAGATTTGTTTAGAGCAAGAGGCTCTTTTTCTTTTAATAATCTTTCTGAGACGACTTTTCCAAAAGCACCCAATGAACAGAAGGGGAGAAAATAGATAAAGTCTTAGTTGTTTAGCTCTTTCACTAAAGTATACAACAGCGAAAGATGAATAAGATTTTCTTTGTCTTTGAGATAAAATATATTGAGTTGGATGTTGAATTTTATATATGTTTTATTTTTATGTTACTAGTGTTTGAATAATAAATCTTACAGCAAATTTACTAATTTGTTTTGTATAATTAAAAAGTTAATGAACACTGATGTTTTAGTTTATGTACTGGTGACTTCAAGGCATATTTGTGTACAGATTTAGCTATAGTATATAATTAAACATCTCATGCTCGATATAATCACTTGCACAGTACACTTTTGACACAAAACATAAGTCATAAGTACATATTTTTTCATAGGTGGAGGGAAAAATCTTTTTGAACCTCTGAGTCACTGTTCCTCCATTCTTTTTTCCTGTCCCCTAAAACACAAGGTCTTTACCCCAAAAAATATGAGGCTGCTAGCTTCAGAATAAAACACACAATTGGAAATAAGATATGGTGTCTTTCCCCTTCCTCTTTACAAACCTGGTTAATAAAAATTGAATTTAATGACTATTGGTGTGCCACTAGATTCATAATATACAACAGATATTTTTTAAGTAGTTTAATTGTGTTAAACCAGTAGGTGGCAGTGCCAATCACCATAAATAGGCTAGCTGCTCAGAGAAACAAAGCTACAGTGAAGAAATCTTAAAAGAACAGTAATTTTAGTAATACTGTGAGTCAAGAGAAACATCCATATAATAGACAATTGCAATGACCCAGTGTAACCATCACTTTCCTTTGCTCCCCAGTCAGCAGGGGAATGAGAATGGTACAGGTAGATGTATCCTCACTTTGTGATATTACTGGTGAGAGCTTCTGCAGGACAGAGTACTCCATAATGTCAGAAATTTTGGATATAAATACAAAGGCCTGGTCTACACTGGGGGGGGATCGATCTAAGTTACGCAACTTCAGTACGTGAATAACGTAGCTGAAGTCGACGTACTTGGATCTACTCACCATGGTGTCTTAACTACGGTGAGTCAACTGCTGCCACTCCCCCATCGACTCTGCATGCGCCTCTTGCCAAGCTGGAGTACAGGAGTCGATGGGAGAGCGCTCGGGGATCGATTTATCGCGTCTAGACTAGATGCGATAAATCGATCCCCGCTGGATTGATCGCTGCCCGCTGATCCGGCCGGTAGTGAAGACATACCCTTAGATATCATGAGACCTGCCTATATTGCCTCAGGAGAGTACACATTCCCTTGAAGTGCGACGTCTGCTGTGCTTTCCCTGCACATACCAGGCAATCTTATGAATTCAGGCTCCAGAGGTACTTCATGGAGCTCTCCATGAGCCCTGTTCACATCCTGAGTTCTCCTGCTTCCCTTCCACCCATCCAGAGCCACTGGACAGCACCCCACCGGCATCCAGTACTGGCGGTTTGGAGTCTTCCACCAGACACAGGGACTCCATAAATTGGAAACACAAAGAAGACAAGGACAAACACCCACACAAGAAGAGTGACAAATCTCCATCTAAAAAAAACCCGCTTTGCACCTTCCTCCAGCACCGCCGAGACTCCACGTCTTAGAATGGGTGCAACTGGAGCTTGCAAGGAAATGGTACCAGGAGCTCCCAGTGTTGTGAAACCACACACTGAAAGGTCAGTAACAATGCCTGTGTCACCTAAGGACAGAAGGAGTCTGCCCATGCACAGATCCATCACCTCCAAGGTGGCATCAATAGCCCAGGCCAAGCCTGAGACACCTGGCAGATCACCTCTGGTGGGACTCTGATACAGTCTTCTGGAGGACCTAGCTACCTATGCAGACCTGGAGTCCCCAATTTTCTTGTAGCCTGTCCTGCTGTGGTAGGTGTCCCCATGGCAGTACCTGGGCATTCTCCAGGCTATGACTCTCTCTGAAGTGGCACTCCTGATTAATGAGGCTATTGTGGAGCCTGCCAAAGTGGTTTGGCACATAACTGATACCTGTGCCCCAACCAAAAGAGGGCTGAGAAATGTTTTTGGTTCTTCCCAAGCAAGTGGAATTTTTATTTTCCCACTTGAAACCCAATTCCCTGGTTATGTAGGCACCCACAGAAAGAAGCTGGCTGCACCACCCAAATTGACTCCACGAAACAAAAATGCCCAAGCAACTTTCTGCAGAAGACTTTGGCTAGTTTAGCATTCCAAATAGTAAATTACCAAGATTTGGTGTTGAAATCTGATGCCTTGAATTACAACAAGCCATAGGCAGTGACTTCGTGGGTGTTCTGGGCTGGAGCACCCAGGGGGAAAAATTAGTGAGTGCTCTGCACCCACCAGCAGCCAAGATCCCCTCCTCCCCCACCTGCTCCTCCCCTCCTGAGCATGTCACTTCCTGCTCCTCTGCCTGCCTCCCAGTGTTTCCCGCCCAGCCGCCACCAAACAGCTGTTTGGCAGGGTTATCACGCTTTGGGAGTGGGGGAGGAAAGGGAACATGGTGTGCTCAGGGGAGGAGGCGGGGCCAGGGTGGGGATTTGGGGATGGAGATGGAATATTGGCAGGGAGGGGGCGGGGACTTTGGGGAAGGGGTTGGAATGGGGACTGGGAAGAGGCGGGGCAGGGGCGGGACCTCATGGAAGGATGGAGTGGGAGCGGAGGACCAGCATGGTAGACAGCCTGCACCACCATGCTCCACTCTGCAACCTCCACCACATCTCAGAAAGTCTTCTGGACATGATGCCCAACGGTCAATAGCCAGTCTCCACATTGCCTGCTACCACCCATATTGGTGGCTGCCTGGCCTGTTTTCTGACAATGTACTGAGCTATCACGATGGACAAATGGGTCCTGGACACTATATCAAACAAATACACACTAGAATTGCTTCTGCCCTCTCCATCCCCCTTCAGGGATCCGACTCATGAGAAGATTCTCAAACAAGAGGCAAATTCTCCAGCTGGGGGCAGTAGAGTCTGTGCCATTCCTTACTTAGGGAAGTAGTTTTTACTCAAGGTATTTCCTCATCCCTACAAAGAAGGGGGGCTGGAGACCCATTCTGGACTTTGGAAAGCTGAATGTCTTCATATGGCACTCGAAGTTCAGAATGACTGCTCTGGCCACTGTAACACCTTCCCTCCACTCAGGTGACTGGTTTGTGGCCCTCAGTTTGAAAGATGCATATTTTCATTTGGACATTCACCCCCTTTCACAGACGTTTCTGCACTTCATAGTCGGCCCAGAGCCCTTTCAACACAGGGCGCCCTCCCCCCCCTTAGGCTCCTCTATGACCCCAAGAGTATTTACAAAAGTACTTGTGGTGGTGGCTGCATACCTTCGCGGACAAGGAAGATGGATATCTCCTTACCTGGATGATTGGCTGGTGATGGGTCAATCATGCCAGGAGGTAGAAGCAACAGTCACCACTGCACTTCAACGCTTTCGTTCCCAAGGACTCCAAGTCAATTTAGACAAGCCCTCTCTGACACCCACACAAATCATAGAATTCATTGGGACGGACCTGAACTCAGTAACAGCAAGGGCCTATGTACTTCAGGTCAGATTCCTTGCCTTGATGGCTCTAATTAGCCAGCTTTGGTTCAGATTTCAACCCAATCCTGCCTGGTCTTGTTGGACCACATGGCAGTATGTACTTATATCACACCATTTGCACTACTGTACCTATGATGCCTGCAGATCTGGTTATGGACAATCTATGCCCTGAACAGTGACTTCTTGGACAAAAATGATTCTCTTCCATGGGATGCACAGACATTGCTCACCTGGTGAGAGAACAAAGACACAGTATGTGTGTGGGTCTCCTTTGTTCATGCACCACCTACAAAGACACTCATCACTGGAAAGATAACCAGACAGCCCAAGGCTCATGGTCCCTGCAGGAATCCAGACTACATATCAACCTACCTGAACTTCAAATAGTTCACAAGGCATGCAAGATGTTTCTACCCATTGTTCAGTCCACCCATGTCTAGGTCAGATCAGACCATACAACTACCATCTATTATGGAAACAAGCAAGGTGGAACAAGATCCACCCCACACTGCAGATGAGTGGTCTATCTCTAGAACTGATACATCAAGGACAGAATCATCCTCTCAGCAGTTCACAAGCCAGGGGTAATGAATTCCCTGTCAGACAGTATCAGCAGGCATTTCTGCATGAACCACTGGTGGGAAGTACGCCTGTGGATAGCACTGTGATGTTACCTGATTAAAATAAGACCATATAGATCAACCACTGTCATATATATGCAACAAATCTTGTACAAAATGTAGCATGTAAGATCGTAGAACTAGAAGGGACCTCGAGAGGTCATCTAGTCCAGTCCCTTGCACTCGTTGCAGGACTAATTATCTAGACCATTCTTCACAGGTGTTTGTCTAACCTGCTCTTAAAAATCTCCAATGATGGAGATTCCACAACCTCCCTAGGCAAAAGTTTTTTCCTAATGTCCAACCTAAACCTCCCTTGCTGCAATTTAAGCCCATGGCGTCTTGTCCTATCCTCCGAGGTTAAGAAAAACAATTTTTCTTCCTCCTCCTTGTAACAGATGGAGAACCCATCCCTTCCCTTGGTAGATTGTTCCAATGGATAATCACCCTCACTGTTTTAAAAAAAAATTAATTTCTCATTTGAATTTGTCTGGCTTCAGCTTCCAGCTGTTGGTTCTTGTTCTTTCTAGATTAAAGAGCCCATTACTACCTGGTATAGTCTCTCCATGAAGGTACTTCAACACTGTAATCAAGTCACTTCTCAATCTTCTTTTTGATAAAATAATCAGATTGAGCTCTCAAGTCTATCACTATAAGGCATTTTTCCAGCCCTCACATTTTTATAGCTCTTTTGCATCCTCTCCAATTTTTCAAAACCTTTTTTAAAATGTGAACACTAGAACTGGACATAGTATTCCATTATCATTAGAAAGACTTGTAATAATACTCCAACCGGATGGATAGTCTCATGGGGAAGAGCATTATAGTACAAGCAGTTTATGATCTGAGAAGATATATGTAGGGTGCTGAAGGTAACTTGGCAAGTGGACACCACCAGTAGTCATTCTAGAGTGGTGATATAATAGCTATGTGGTCATCAGTTGGCAAATAGAAATATACTCCTTCCCCATTAATGAAATGAATTGTCTTTTAATTTAAACAAATTCCTGTAGGCTTCATTAGGATTTTGT